GAATATGTCTATCAAAAGGAGATAAATATACTCTGAATTGTTCATATAGTACCTCCTTGTACTGTTTTGGTAAATTAAGAGGTTAATTGCGAATTTTAGTACGACCCCAAATGCACAATTAAAATATTGAGGGCAAAAGCATTGTTTCTTACAACGGAAATTGCTGTCACTTAGCTAGACGAACTGTATCATAGGTAATTGTTTCTAAAAACGTTTGTAAAAAAATAAACGGCTTTTGTTGAAAAATTTTTTTTTCCTAACATGTATGTACAGGGTGTAAATCGAAAAGTAGAACATAGGCGTTTAACATGGGAAATTACTTTTTCTTTGCGCAAACGTTTCCTAATTATTTTACGCAAAAATACTTCAAATAAGTTATAGAGATATAAATTCTGCATCTAAATCATGTGAAACGATTATTCTACCTCTTCTTGTACGCGAAAAAATTAATTGTAAAGATTTCACGAGTTTTTAGTCTAAGTAGCCATGGACTATGATAAAAGAAAAATATAGAAGTAATTTCCCATGTTAAACGCCTATGTTCCACTTTTCGATTTACACCCTGTACATGATGCGTTATACATAGAAATCATTTTCTTTTCATGGCATTGCCACTTCATGATATTGCATGATATAGAGTTTACCATTCGCCCTCATTGAGCACTTTTCAGGTGCATGTAGTCGTATCTTTGTGAACTATTATTTAAGAATGATTGATACCTATTGAAAATACAAATACTCTCCCCAAATTCACAAGCGTAATTTATGAGCTCTCGATAATTCCACGCCCCATTGTTTTAATGAAATTGGTAACGTTGAATGCGCATTGTAGAAACATAATTGTATTAGTACAATATACACGCGCTTATAATCTCATAAATCTTACATTTTCACCTTGGTCGCGCTGCACTGTTTTTACAATCTGCTGTTTTGTACGCAACCGGATGTTGAACGCCGTCGAGTTTGACGCGTCGTTAGCTTTTGACAAATGAGCTCCACATTATAGAGATAGAGCATTGAAAGCGTTAAGCGTCGATATGACAAGAAAACTAGTCTGTTTAGTTATCAAATATAGCCCTCGTATACTTTTGAATTGACATTGAAAAGGACAAGTTAGATTTCCAACTTCAATTTCCTTCAAGGAAAGGGCTAGTTCCAGTCCTCCATTTATACAGTTTGGTTAGGGCATGAACTGAAATAAAAAAAGTTGTATAATTTAGACTGCCAAATAGAACAGATTTACATTCAAAGACAAGAAGAAATTTGTTGTCTCTTTTTTGAAGGTAATTTACCACAACTGATCGGTCTGATGACGTGGTAGCAACTTCGAACCGCACTTCTCAAATTCAAAAAGTCGAGAATTTCCTTATACTCATTTTATTTGCGTCCATGATAGATTTCTCGTTAGATATTAGATTCAGATCAAGAAATGAGGTACCAAATTATTACTGCCAATAATTTTTGGCCGCCCGTGTGGCGCAGTGGAGTAGAGCTCGACTGCGATTCGAATCCGGGTTCGGGCATGACTATTTGTTATTAATTAAATTAAAAAATGTGCCTTTAAAAATATAAAGGTTGATTTAGCGCCGCTACTTCTCAGGCAGTTCTGAAATTCTGTGTTTGGGTATTATTGGCAAAGTATATTGAACAAGTTTTCAGCGTGCCTCAAATACCCACTTACCCAAAAATGTCTACCACCTCTCCTACTCCCACTTTATCCGTCCGTCCGCCCCAGTCCTTAACTACTCCTAAGTTTTCAAGATATTTAGATTGTTCTTTTTGCATTCGGTAGCCTTATAACTTTGATACCTCAACCAACCATTAGTGTCCGCATGCTCAGACTGCGAAATGCCAACTTTCTTTTTTATAAACATTTTCTTGAAATTTTAACCACAGGCGCTTCTAGCACCACAAGCATATCGCATAATGTAAAAAGCATGTGCCCAGAACAAATCATTTGTCGTTGTTATGTTGAGTTATAGTTGCGATGGAGGTGAATGCGGTTCTCCCGCTTCAAATTAAATATAAGAAGAAAGTATGTTTTTTTAAATTTAATTTAATTAATCGAGGGAGTAGTAGGTCGATTATTACGCCACTGGCGATGAAACCTGGGCGTATTCCTAGGATCCTTTATCAACGACTCACTGCAGTATATGCCTAAAGGGTCTCCACCAATGAAAACAGCAAATAATAATAATATTACTATTATTATAGAAAACAGCAAAAAACGTTCTGTGTAAAATTTTATGGCAACGGCCCCGTAGGGTTGTGAGAGGATTATGGAATACATACAATGAAAAATGGCACTAAAATTACGGTGACGTTTATACAGAGGCTATAAAACCTCAGAATTTTGACGACATTTGCAGGATGTAGAAGGCTCAAACAGTTCACAAAATTTACACACAAATTACAAAAATTATGCACTACGAGATATGTAAGCTTTCATATATCAAAAATGCCAGGTCGATAGAGTGTGCTTATTTAGACTGATACCGATGTAATTAGAAATTGCCTTCATTTAGTCAGCGGTCAACACAAAATGTACTACATGTTTAATATAGAATTTAAAAAAAATTAAAATTAGAATCTAGATTAGAATACTCGGTTTAAAATAACGTGACGAGGATTGTAACGGTAGCTCTCAATTTGCATTTAAAGTTTTGAAATTTCGTTGTGGAGTTTCTAAGGGTAGAGCAGTTTAGGCATTAATTGAATATCATAGAAATTCTATGGGATGTCGAAATTTAAAGGGCCGTTCCAATTAATTCTTTGGTAGTGGAATTGTTAGAATAAATAAGCGAGCATTCGGTGGAGTGAAAGATTGTCCTTTCTGCATCGTTTAGTTCCTGGTGTAGAACATTGTTTTGTTAATGGATTCCGGATGTCTAGAGACTTGATGTCGAGGTTTTGTATCGCATTCGGTTATCTTAATTAGGGCTATTTGATTACAATTGCGAATTAGGGAAGAAATAATTCTCTGAATAGTGAGAAGACGAATCAGCGGAATTTCAGCGTGAAGGAACAACCTCTTTCTCATGTACATGTACAAATCATAATTGACTTAAATTAATAATTTAGGAGACTCAGTGGCATCGATCAACTTTTGCAAATTCCATTGAATTACTACAGAAATTTTGATCCACACCTTAAATAAATCTAAAAAACACTACCCGGGTACCATAATTGATTCGAAGGAACACAATTTCATTGATTGGCAATGACAAAAAATTTATTCGGAAACAATGATAATTAAAACAAAATTCCTGAAAAAAAGGCAAGATCACAAAGCTTGTATAAACAAATTACCCCGTACGCAAGCGTTCGACAAATAAAATAAAATAAAAATCTTAAAAATTACTTATATTTTTAACTGTTCGAAGCGACACCCTGGCCATTTATTAATTACCCCCATTACCATCTTCTATCTATCTTTCTATCCTTGAGGCGTTTCAAAATTTGTACAACTTTAAATTTAATATATAAACAGAGAAAAAATCAATAAGCAAGATCATTTAGTGTTCTTACACTGCCAGGCGCCTTCAAGGCTTCAAAAAATATATAATGGCCCCCATAAATGTGAACCCCCAGCGTATTTTCATCAATTTTGAAGAAATTTTCGGAACAATTTTCTTTATTAACGAGCTCCTAGCGAGACTATAATTTTGCGATGTCTGTCCATCTGTCCTTTAGCACGATATCTCGAAAACGACTGGACCGAGTGCGATGAAATTTTGCAAGTGGATTCTTTATCAAATGTTTGAATTGCTAATGTAGGTAAAAAAATAAGGAAATTAAAAGCAAATAAGCTCTAAAAATGCTTTAATAAAACATTCGGTGTGTAGCTCGTCTTAAAGTAACCCCTTCACATGCCCAGCTTATACCTAATCCCTAAAATTCCCTATAATCAGAATTTTCGTGTGTCCTTTAAGTGGCCTTTCTAAGATATTTTCTGCCAGAGGACTTTGAGAAACAAAAGACTGAACTGCGAATATGTGTCCATAATTATTTTCCTCTTTTTTAAAATATGCCGTTGATTTAGCATAACTTAAAATACACATTTGGAACGGTTTTAAACCAGATATACATAGTACGTCCGTACTATCCATCTATCCATTGGCCCACGTCATTATTTAGCCCATTCCCATAGGTATTTCTATTTCCTGTATGAAATTTACATACTCTAGATGTGCAACCAATAAAACTTAATTATTTGTCGAGTTATTTCTCGACCATATGTGGTTGCTTAAGACCAACTGCTATTATTGCCTTTTAAATCGAAAAGTATTAAGTGATATTTATTAAGAAGTAGACATACGAATTTACCTGTCTACTTTTAAATGACAAAATCTTCTGAAGGGCGCAACCAAAATAACTTCTTAAAACAAATAAAGATCTGGCTGTCATATTAATTAATGTTTCAATATTGTTATGCTTTGTCTTCACAAAAAATAAATCTCTTACAATTGAATGTATTGCACACGAACGAAAATGAAAAAACGAAAGCCAAAGCAACAACATTCAAATTAATTAATATGATAGCTAAATCTTTTTGTTTTTAGAAGATATTTTGGTGCATAAAATTAGGCGCCCTTCAGAAAAATGTTGTCATTTAAAAGTAGACACAGGGAAAAACAATACACGTAAATCCCTTATGACTACTTGTTAATGAATATCATTGTATATGAAAAACAGCATAATGACTATGAATTATGATGCAAGAACCAGAAATAACGCAAGCATTTTAAATCACATCTCATCGTTTACCGTCACTTTTCTAAGTTAGTTCCTTAAGTATAAGACTAAACACATTATTAGTTGATTATAGTATGAATCGATATTTTTATTACTTCACAAGATTAGTATAACGAGACACAATTCCAACTGCGTGCCCTTTGGGGATTAATAACCTTAATCGTATTTGTCATTAGTCTTCTATATCTGTGTAGGTAAATCCTTCCAGGATTGTTCGCAATGTAATACGTGTTCTAAACTTCGCCATGTATCAAGTAAGTCGGGTAGTCCTATATAAAGCTTTCAATAATATGCTACGGGAAAGGATATGAGAAATCAAATTCCTCCGCAACAAATTTTCCTGTATAAATAGATTCGGAGCTTAATCACGGTCAAACCGAATTTAAGCTCTCGGAAGAAAAATTCAAACAGAAACGCGTATCAAAAGCTTAGGGTAGATACTAACAAAACTATTTTGGCTTCAGGAAGCCACATTTCTGCGCCTTTCCGAAACTGTATTAGACGTATTTCGATAGTAAAATGTATATCCGCGTGGCGCGTGGAAGCCAATTTCTACAAAAATATACCGACTTAACTGATTTTTATATTCGCAAATCTGAAGCTGTTTTCTCTTTTTACAGATACAATTGGTCTAAAGGATGTCGCAGTGACAATACCCCAAGCGGCCACCGTTGGGGACACCGTAACGTTACAATGCCGCTACAATTTGGAAGGTGAACCATTATACACAGTGAAGTGGTATAAGGGACAAAGTGAATTTTATCGATTTTTACCTAAAGAACTTCCTGATACACAAGTGTTTCCTCTTCCTGGGATTGATGTCGACGTAAGAATATTTTTTACGTACTTTAATATATCAAAGTAACGAACAAAGAAAGAACATAAATTACATTGTAAAACGATCTTCCGCTATCAATATTAAATTTTTCAATGCAATGTGAAATAACACGAAATTGGATTTTGCTTCAAAAAATATTTAATAGTACTTTGTAGCACAGAATTCCCATTAAGTTCATGTAAATACAAAAACAGAAATAAAAACTTTTTCTATTAGTGTTGGAATCTGCTGGCACACCGCATGAAATGAACCGTCAACAGCAGTTGTATGTGAAAGAATGATTGGTTTTCAGGAATTCGAAACGTCTATTATAGCATGACTGCCCTTATGTCAATTTGATATTGTTTAGCTAAATCTTTACTTAGCTGTGATTTTAATATTTTGTTTTCATATAAACTTTGTTTCCAGCTTAGCAAGTCTACTCCTCACGAAGTCGTCCTGAGGAATGTACAGCCAGAGGTTTCAGGTCGATACAGATGCGAGGTGTCTACCGATTCCCCAAATTTTTTTACGAATATAGAGACTGGATACATGTACGTTATAAGTGAGTAAGAAACATAACTTGTAATTTTATGTTTGGCGCATTTTAGTAACGCGAAAGTTAAAATTATGCTTTAAGTCGTAATTTCCGGCAACGTAACGGTTATTCAAAATGCATAATTATTAAACCACTTTGGGGATGTAAAGTGGAAAGGAGGAGGTTAAAAGTTTTTGTAGATAAAAACGACTTGAAGATTTATGTACTTTAGCGCCACAATTTACGATATTTCACTTTAGAACACTTTTTAATTTACAACGTCATAGAGAGTGATTTACTAAAATTTGATCATGAAGTTATGCATGCTAAAATGGAAACAATATCGTAAAGTAGGGCATTAAAAAACCTTTCCTTCGTATTTTTCTCGCAACGGACAAAAAATTATTTCACGGTGAAAAAATATTACAATCAAATAAAAAGATAAATTTATGATGCCATTTTTAGCGACTCATGATGAATATAATAATATCATCGATGATAGATGCTCTGGATCTACCCTACATATCCAAGCCCTGATTTCGTTTTTATTTAAGCTAATTTCCCTAGGGGTGGAGCTTTGTGGTCACATATGGACCAATTATCCCATAACTTCTACCTCGTTAACCACAGCGATAAATCTAAAAAATTGGTTACCCACTCGCGATCTGAAGCTTGCTTTTTGGTCTTTTCCACTTTAAATACAATTTGCTATTTATTACACTGTATACGAAAAGTTGAAACGCTAATAAAAATTTTTACATCTCTTCCCATAAATTATACTATCTTTTAATTGCTACGTCGGAGTATAAAGGACGACGGATAGAAATTTTCAAATTTAAAAGCGCGCCATTGTATTACACCCTATTAAATTACTGTGACGGGAAATAGGGCGCATAAAAATTGTAGCGGGTCACTAAAAGTAAATTTCCATTTTATTTGCCTAATTAATAGTAGACAGACACTCCAACTTTGCGATACTACGTTCTTATTATACGATCGCTAGCATTGTCCTTAACTATTTATTGCATTATCTTTTCAGAAAGTTAATCTTCGTGTGACTGAGAGAGATCAATGTGTACCTTCCATTGACTTTCTGAAACAATAATTTTCATGATCGGTAACTGAACGACAATGTTGACGTGACGAGCCAAATAAAATTTAATAAAATAACCAACTAACTCGGAATAAAGTAGCTTAGACAGGTGCAGGATGATAAAATGAGAAAAAGTGAATTAAATTGCATCTATTGTTTCAAAAATAAGAAACTGTTTGCGCATGCGCAATCCATATTTTGACACGTGTTCAATTCACTTTTATAGGCACCTTCAATTAAAATTTCGGTAAAATCTTTCCGGGTAATCCATTATTTAACACGTGCACATTTTTTTTTATCAAGGCATTTCACCGTTTCCCCTATCAGATTGGGGTTAGACCACGATATTTTAGGTATCTCTGGTCTAATATGATCACCAAAACTTAGCAAACTTCGTACTTCATGTTTGAGCTTTGCTTAATCAAGGATCAGAATGAAATTTGACACTGACATAGCTTGTGATATAGATACTTATAGTTTCATTGTCCGAAAATTTGACACCAAAAATTCAAATTTCAATATGTACCAAAATTTGAGTGACTTTCAGTATTAGTGTATTAATTCTTCTAAGGCAAAGGAGTAAACGAATGGAGAGGGAAAACCTCAATACACTATCAAAAGGTTAAACTTTTAACTAGGATACATTTTCCACGGATAGGTTAAATTAGCGCAAATTTGGAACATGTTTTCCAGTATTGTAATGGTCAAGTCAAGTGAACAATTTTGCATCATGAGGACAAAACACTCAGTTAATCAAAAATGTCAAATGACATAGAAATTATTCAGTCAGGTGCATACAGCGTGCACGGCCTTTCTGATCATCATGTGGTATATTGTAAATATCCTGCGAACTACTCTAAAAAACATAGTCCTTTTTTTTACCCGTACCGTGATTTTCATAATTTTGATTTAACTTCCTTTGATAATGACCTTAAGTCTATTAATTGGCAGCAATTGTTTATGTTATCCACTGTTGATGATAAAGTAGATTATTTAAATTATCATATCGTACAATTATTTGACAAGCATGCAGCACGTAAAACTGTCAGAATTAGCAAACCTCCAGCTCCGTGGCTGACTGATAACATTAAACTTTTGATTGAACTCAGAAAAAAAGCCTTTACAAAATTTAAAAAATCCAAATTACCTTCCCATTGGAATTATTATAAACAGTTACGTAATTTTACTATAACTGCCATTAGGTCTGAAAAAAAAGCATATATAGAGTCTCATCTTAATCAGAGTGTAAGTACGCGTACAAGTATTTGGAAAAGGTTAAAGCAAATAGGGCTATGCGAATCTTCACATAAACATGAAATACCACCTAATCTTTGTGATGTAAATAAAATCAATGAAGCATTTAATGAATTATCTAATACTACCCATGTGAATATTGACCACCTGATTGAATTCTACAATCTGAATACGCATAAATTGTTAGATGTTAAATTTAATTTTAATTTGATAACTGAAGCAGAGATGCTGAAGACTTTCTTATCTTTAAAATCAAATTCAATTGGCTGCGATCAAATCAGTCTGACAATGTGGAAATTATGCTTACCCTATTTGGCTTCGATCATAACGCACATCATTAACTGCTGTTTGAGTGAATCGACTTTTCCCAATGCTTGGAAGAACGCCATTGTGGTACCGCTACCTAAGATAAAGAATGCTCAAGATTTTAAGGACCTACGGCCAATTAGTATTCTTCCCTGCTTGTCAAAAGTTCTTGAAAAGATCATGGCTTCACAAATACAACACTTCTTAAACAGTGAGAAAATGTTACCTCCGATGCAGTCAGGTTTTCGTCCGGGGCATAGCTGTAATACGGCACTTGCATTTGTAACCGATACAATCTTATCTGCGATTGACAAAAATAACTTAACTATGCTGATATTATTAGATTATTCAAAAGCATTCGATAGAATTTCTCATAAATTGCTTACATCCATCCTTAATTACAATAGTTTCAGCACTTCGGCTGTGCACCTGATTGAAAGTTATATATCCAACCGCACTCAGTGTACTAGGCTTGATGGAAATGTGTCTACCTCTCTCTCTCTCTGTTATGGCGGGTGTACCACAGGGATCTGTCTTAGGACCATTGTTGTACATCATCTATACCAGCAAAATACAAGATTGTCTTAAACATTGTATGTATCACCTCTATGCGGATGACACGCAGTTATTCTATACATTTCCAGCTCATAAAATTGAGGATGCGAATAGCCTCATAAATTCTGATTTGCAAAGTTTAGTAAACACTTCTGAAATGCATGGTCTAAAACTTAATATTAACAAGTGCAGTGTCATGTTATTTGGTCGAAACAAAATCCGAAACAATAACATCTCGCAAGTTGCAATACAAATTAAAGACAGTTTGCTTCCTGTAGTGTACAGTGTCAGAAATCTAGGTGTTGTGGTAGATAATCAACTTCGTTTTAAAAGTCACGTGTCAGGACTCCTTCGAAAAGCCTATCTTAATCTAAAAATGATCTTTAATTTAAGGCATAGCCTCAATCGTAAGATTAAGGTAATGCTTTGCGAATCCTTAGTTCTATCACATTTTAATATATATACGGCCCATGCCTGGACGCAAGTGACGTCAAACGAGTGCAACGCATGCAAAACTCTTGTCTTAGGCTCATCTTTGGTCTAAAAAGATATGAGCATGTTAGTAATAAGTTAAGTGAGGTTAAATGGCTTAACATGTCAAATCGTAGAGTGTTACACGCAGCATGCCTCTTATACAACATCATTTCCACGAAAACACCAGATTACCTATACAGCAAAATTAAATTTAGGCATAATGTCAATATTAGAAACAAAAACTTCACTTCTTTACCAAGTCATAATACCAGTATTTTTCAAAGATGTTTCACTTACAATGCTTCAAAAATTTATAATTCCTATTACAACGTTTTCACTGATTCAAAGTTTTCTTCTCTAAAATCTTTTAAAAAAGCAATGTATACCTTACTTATGGATAGACAGCGGAGTACTTGAAACTGTTGAGTCACTTAAAGTTTGGCACAAACCCAAATTATGCAATTCTGCCATTTGTGGTCGAGTATTAAAAGCTCGATAGAATGGGGTTAAGTGGTAGAACAGACAGTGTGGTACCCTCTTGGGTGCCCACCAGTCTGAACTTTCGCCCCTTTGAGCTAACATGCTTTTTTTTTTTTTTTTATTCATTAGAATATGTAATATCATGTTTAGCTCAATAAATGCCTATTATTATTATTATTATTATTAATTAATCATCAATAAAAAATCGAAAAACAAAATGGAAAATTACTTATGAATTAACTAAAGCGAACGAGTATTCTAGTGGAAGTGAATTTTCCGCAGAGGGAGAATATTTCGAGGAGAATATTCCAGGACCAAATTTACCGGGGTGCATATGTCAGAGGTAAACCTTCAGGGACAAGTATTTCGGTGACGAATTTCCCAGAACCGAGTATTCTGAAGACGAATTTATCGGTGCGCATTTTCCTAAAAACTCGTTGGCAAACAAATGACATATTGAACACACGTCCGTTCTACTTTATCCAAAGCTGTCAGAATCAATCGATTTGCCTTTATTCTATTAGAAACTTGCAAAAAATTGCAGGGAATCAAAAAGGCTATTTGTTTAATAACCTGTGAATAATGTGTGTATGCTTTGCACACGCAAGTGCGTTCGAGGGCTAGGGTGTTTTCATTGAACTCTTATGCAAATGTTGATATTAAGCATCTGAGATACTTTTCTGTTATATAATCAGCATAAGAAAAGATCGTCTACACAGAAAGTATCTCTTATTAATTGATCCGCTACCCGAATTAGAGAAGTGTGTAACTCATACGGCAAAGGTAATGTAAATTGTACATCCTAGCTGTGATACTGATTTGCGCGGAGTTACCTAATTTTCGAAAACCTTCCTCCTCTAGCCGC